TACGGCCGAGCTTAAGAGAGAGTGAAGCCTAAAAAGGCGGATGTGTGCTGACCAGAATCTCTGATATCTTTCTCCCTTAGACAGTAAAACTTCGCGGTTATATACCGGTCTTCCTCATTATTGTATGAGACGTGATTCTAATACTACGTTCTGGCCGGAAGTGCTAAGTTGAAGTTAAGAAGCGATAGGAAAGGAAGTTTAACTCAAAATTTAACTATTAATAAAATTAACATAATCCTTACAAGCTAGTTACTGCGGAAATTTGGGGGCTCTAGACTTGAAATAGAAATTTCCCTAAGCCTACAGCTTCTTTTCTGACGCTGTGTGCGGCCATGGTTCACTCATTCCGCTCCTGCTCAAATGTCGAGGTATTCGCCGATAAGACCAACCGGCTTCTTTGCGCCCAACTACATTCTCTCAAATTCTGACATCTGCGCATATAGTTCGCGCACCTGTATGCGAAGCATAGTTACTGTCTAACAGAGTACACGGAATGAAATTCGTCAAGAATATATAACCTGGAATGCCAATGATTTAAAAATTTCGGAGTTCCTATGGTTCAAAACCATCTACCTCCACATCAGAATTAATAAAAGCGAGCAGAAATAAGAAAAATTTGGCATAAGTGATTTACTTGATGCACACTAGAGGGAGCCACAGGCTCGAGAGAGTTTAGGGATAGAGATGAGAAATAAAAACTTAAGTTTCATAATTTTTTTTTTTAAAGTTTTTAGATTTTTAAAAATTTTTTTTGTATTTCATATTTTATACTTTTTTTGGTTTTTTATAATTTTCTATACACAGTACAAACACTAAAGCAAAAAGTGGATAGGAAAGATTTTACGATTAATAGGCTCATTGGCATGTGGCTTGTGTTGGGGAGTGCAAATAATTATTAAGACCGCGATGAAAATATTCATAGGCAGATTTGAAATCTGCGGGAGCTGTGATTCTTAAGTAAACAGATTGATAACTTTGCTTGAAGATCTTGATAGTGGCAGAGGATGAAATAAGCAATTATATGGCAGCTCGCTGAAGAGACTTCAATCGTAATTTCTCCTCTTAAATATCCTGTCAATTGAGCAGATCAGATGCGCTGTAGCGACAACCGTTCATTCATTGGCAGCCAAAATGTAAAATTTTGCATTTCCCGTCGAAACCTGTATGCATATCAATTTGTGTCCAATTTGCTTTATATCTTCTCGGTGGGTCGTGTTACGTCGGGTTTTTTTGTCTAAGAATGTAGTTCAAGGTCGAAGGGTTATAATATGAGACTGGACCGTTTGTTATCGTTTTAAAATAAAAAGCGAGAGCTATAATAAATAAATTTTAAAATAAAAAGCGAGAGCATTTCGTTTAAAAAACTAAAAACATATCTCTATTTTAGAAGAATAAAGTGGTCAGAAAATGAATGAAACAATTTATTAGTATATATTTTGTATACGGAGATGCTTGATTGATGTACTGCAAGCATAAACATTTATTACACATTTTATCAGACAAATCAAGAAAATAAATGATTAGTTATATTACAATAATTATTAATTTTAAATACATTTTTCAGAAATCGATCAAAATATAAACTGAAATTTTTCGGAAAATCTTGTTTGGAGACAATTTGGCGTCCCTCTGCGAGCGGCGCCCGGGGTATCATACACCCCCTTCCCCCCCCGTCGCTACGCCACTGTATATGAATTAGAGACTGAATTTCAAGGCTTTAAAACCGCAGTGCTCAATTCACTCACAAGAACTTAGCTTTGACCTCTTAACTTTGCCAAAACAAAAGCGAAGCATCCGGGTATAAAGTGTGATTGCACCATAATCAAGAAAATTACCGTCATTGGGATTAAAGCACTAAACTAAATCGACTAGTGAAAACTCACAGCAGTTGAAGCTAGAAGCAAACTGATGATTCGTGACCGTGATAATGATACCTGCCTTAGATGAAAAATGAAACTTTTTTTTAAATGGCCGGTCTCTCTATTTAATAGCCACCCTTGCCCCTCTAGAAGGGCTGGAAGTGTTAGCCATTTCGTTATGGAAGCACCTAAAAGGGGCCACCGTTGAATCTTATGAAGGAATGAACAGCTATAACATTGTATTCTCCGGGATTAGAACTCGAGCCCATGTTTACGGCAATCAGTGTACCAGATGGGCGGCTGAAAAATGAAACTTTGTTGATTCTTCTGCCTCTCCTGTCTATCAATAGATAACGCAACATCCTTGACTACCTAATCTTTGTTCTTCAATTCCCAAACCAGCTTTAAGCGAAATTAAGTGATTTTCTCCTGGTTTTTCTCTTTTCTCTCTTGCAAGATCTCTCGCTGTGAGGCCCATTCAGGTAACCTTCAACACGAGGCCCACAGGGGATATCGAATTAGGTTACAAGGAATTACCGCAGCTGTGGTAGAAGCCTTGTATAACACATTTGTGTCCAAGAATCCAAGATTCAGTAAATCTTTTCCTTAGCTAAGGGATCATCATTACATTTCGCAATTTCTTCAGTAGAGAAGTTTGCTTCCACTACCTCGAATTTATTCATCGTCGGGGAAGCAGGTCAGTAGGGCAGGTGTTTTGACTGGTGTTGCGAAGAGCACAGAAAATATATAAATCAAATATATGCAAAACAGTTCGTTCAGTTGCGGGCTGCCTCTACCCGAGGCTGGGTTAATTATGAATAAAGACAAAAAAATTCTTAATAAGGCATTCTTTATTTTCATCAAAACAGTCTTTCTCTTCCGAGATCAGCTTTCGTTCCGTCTACAAGCAAAACATTCGAAACACTCAGCACGCCATGGACCTAGCTAGTCACGCCTTCGTTAGTCAGATAGACCAACCAAGCGGGCGGGGCGTGCGTCACTGACATGTCGGCAAGAAAGAGTAGGGACGATCTGGTTTATTTTAACTCTGAAACCTATGGCGTTTGTATAACATAACTCTTTTTAATTATTAAATGTGATACGTGTATAGTGATAAGATTATAAAGCGCACAGTTTTTTCCAAATAGGATTTAATATATCTCATTAAAGCACTTTTTACTGCATTTCGTCCATTTTTTTAACGCGTAATTCTTGTACAAAAAGGGTAAAAACTCTAAGCACGAAATTTATGAACTTAATTTTGCGTAAAAATAAAATTAAATTAAATAAGATTGATAGTACTCGATGGTTTGAAATAAATAAGGTAAAATTAAACAAGATCTGATAATTTTTTTAAAAATTTAATGAATATTTTCAGGCAGTAATTTTCCAAACCATAATAACATTACAAAACGATCATATTTATTTGATTATATGATCATTAAATTATTAACATTAAAGTGGATTAGTTATTTTAATAATTCATAAAATTCGGGGCATAAATATTCTGAGCGTAATGAAGGGGAAAAAAAAAAAAAAAAAAAAAAAAGATAAAATAAAATCTAGAAGCACACTCATTTTATATTACGCCCAAAACAAACCTTTTTTTTAAAGTTTTGTGTGTTACCTATATTTATTGAATATCATTTTCTTCGCCCGTAAACCACATACATTTGAAAACAGCATATCTTTAGAATTTCCGCACTGGAGATAAAACTGTTATTTTCCGTATAGTGCTCGCTCTGAACTCGTTGAGTTTGTTAATCAAAAATTCGTTAAAGTTTTACAAAATATGAAATAGATTAAAAGAAATTCTAAATTCGGCCGTCCAAATGCCGATGCTCGGGTGGATGATCACATTATTCAAAATTGCATGGCTCTAGATTCCGTCGCTTTATCACAGTGCGAGAAACATACATGTATTCATGCAGATTCTTCATTATTTAATTTCTTTAAATATAATACATTGCGATAATATTTGGTAACAACAATTTGCAAGGAGACACGGACATTTATAGTGAAACAGCGCAAAATGCCGCTTCGAGCTAATAAATTGAATTAACAGTAAATACAAAAAAATCTTATGCAGAACTAAAAATAAATTTAAAAAAATAATCACTAAAAAATACAAGGAAAATGAATTATTACGGTTAATATTAGAATTAAATGTATAAAATTAAGATGTTAAAAGTATTTATCACTAAGATGTATTATGAAATATAATTGAAATAAAATTCCTTTACAGAAATTTTGCTATAATACTCATCTATAATCTTAAAAAAGCAGCACAATTTAGAATTTTAGACAAAACTTTCAAAAATTCGTTTTGAAATATTTTAGTATTTTTTAATTATTTACACCAATAAAAAGCATAAAAATTGCTTGTTTGAAATTTTCTATTAGTACAGATTTAAAATATAATTTTCTAAAAGAAGTAGTTACAAAAATTCCTTACAGCATAGAAAAAGCTAAAAAAATATCCAGCCCTGAAAGCATGCAATAGCATTATAATTATTTGGAACGCTAATTATGCTTGATAAATATGCTAATTTTTTAAAAATCAATCTCAATTTCAAAAATAAAAATACGTAGAAATTCTAATTTGTGAAATGAGGCGCTACAACCAGCTTTTTCTTGACAATTACACTCGCTGCAATAGGTAACCTATGTTAAATTTTTGCAAGTCGTCTCTACTCCTCCGGATGTGATCAAGGTGACAGCCGGCAACGCCTGAGACGAGGGAGAACACCCGTTTGGGTTAGTCTATTTCTTATAAGGTCCATGGCGTGCTGAGTGTTTCGAATGTTTTGCTTGTAGACGGAACGAAAGCTGAAAGGCGCTGCTGTTCGTGACGTCCCTGCATGGACCTTATAAGAGATAGACTAACCCAGTAGACGGGCGCGCGTCTTTGACATTTCGACAAGAAAGAGTAGGGACGATCTCGTTTACTTTAACCACTCCAGGCGGCAAGGTCGTATATATGCGTTTTTGTGTCACATACTCTTTTTAATTATTAAATGTGATACATTGTATAGTGATGAGATTATGAAAGCCACCGTTTTTTCCAAATAGGATTTAATATATCTCATTAAAGCAATTTTTACTGCATTTAGATTCCTGTCGCTGAGCTCCTAGAGACAAGACAGGGATTTTTTCTGCTCCTGCTTGCTTTGGTGTTCGCGCTTGCATTCCAGCTCCGAACCGCCTCGTTTTAGTTTTCTCTCGAGGACTCCGGCTGCGGACCGCTCCTTGGACTACAAGTTCGGACCGACTTCTGCAAAAAATGCGGTAAGATCTCTCCTTTTGTTCTCTGTACGTCAGTGCAATGGCAAACGGTCAGATTACTAAGCAGTTATTTGATTTATGTTCAATTCTCCAAATTTGGTATCACTGATACACATATTGAGGAATTTGATCTTAAAAATGATAGCAACATATCCGCTTTTGTGTGGATAGTCACTACAATTGGCAAACCCACTTTCGAAACTAGTTGTAATTTAAAGGAACAACTCTTAGATGAGTTCAAAATTCTAAATGCAGTCCTCAAAAAATTGAACAGATCGTTACGAGCTAGATACCATCACAGCAAAATTAAAACTCTGCGACATGTTTATAAGCGTGAATAATCCCTTAAAAAGATGCAGCAGTAACCCGGCTGTAAATAACATCCACATAAAAGGATCAGACAAAAAATGCAATTCAAATAGTAATTCTCCACAGAAAGCTACTTTGAATTCCCAACCACAAAAACAAATTGTACAACAGAACAATTCTGTCCCCAACTCCCCACAAAAACAGAATCAACACACGAATGACCTGGAAAGAGATATCCCACCAAACAACCCCATAAAACGCACACATAGCGACAAAAACAGAAAAAAGAAAACAGAAGTTGACAGCGAAGGATTCAAAACCCCTCGCATCACTAATAAACGAACATTTTCCGAAACGGATATCACACCTCCTCTCCAACAAAATAAATACGAAAAATTAAAACAATGAGAAATGATGGATCAAAACAACGTAAATAATACTGAAGAATTTATCATCCCAAAGAAAACTGCCTCACACATCCCCCCTATTGTCCTACAGGACTTTACGGCGAATTGGGACAGAATGAAGGAAGAATTTGAAGCAATTGGAATTACAAAAGATTAAAGGAAATTTAAAAGGGGACACCCTTACCATTAGAGTATATGATCCTGAAGATTATCGTAAAGCCACTGAATTGCTTACTAAACGGGATATTCCATATCATACGTACAAACTTAAAAGTGAAAAACCTTTAAAAGCCATAATAAAAAAACTTCCAAGAACCTCAAATCCGGAGATCATAAAACAAGAAATCGCCAGTATGGGCATCCCCATCACAAAAATAAAACAAATAGAAAAATTTGAAGACGGCAAAATTATTAAATTACCGGTTTTCCTTGGGGAAACCAAAAGAAACAACGAGGGGAAAAAAGATATTTAACATCACTTCACTACGTGGACTTGATGTTTTTGGTATGCTCGTATAAAAGTCGCCCAGGACCAGTTCAATGTCATAAATGCCAAAGATACGGGCATATTAAGGAAAAGTGCAATTACAAACCAAGATGCCAAAAATGCGCAGGCCCTCACGAAGGGATATACATGCAAACAGGACAAAACTTACACTCCGCAAAATGTGCCTTATGTGGTTTAGACCACGTAAGCTCTTCAAAAACTGTGTAAATTCCACCCTAACAATATCAAAAAAGCAATAGAAACTCGTAAAACGGAAAATGCTCAAACCACCTCAACCTACATTCCAACTCAATCAAGAAGATTTCCCTGCTCTACTACCCAACGGCAGCACAAAATACAATACAGCACGCAAGCGGCTGTATCCGCTCTTCCTACCCAGAAACAGAATCAAGAACCGGAACCTCCCTCCTTCTGCGAGTGGATTAAATTGCAGCTGACAAAAAGCTAAAGATTTCTAAAAAGCTTCAAAGAAGCTAAAAATATTATGAACAAAATCGAGGTTGTTATGGCAGCCATAGAATATTTTTCATCTCTAAACTATGACTTCTAGTCCTTTAAGTAATGAACACAAGATCAACCACTAGCAAGTGCTTTCTTAAGTCACTTTCTTCAATGCGAACGGTGTTCATAAGCAAAAGGAGGAAATTAAAAACTTTCTCATCACCCATAACATAGACATCATGCTGCTCAACGAAACACATCTAAGGAAGTCACATCGGATAAATTTCCCTGGATACCGGACAATCCGAGACGATAGAATTCATAACAGAGGTGGAGGTACTGCAATAATTATTAAAAACTACCTTCGTTTTCCCCAAATGAATTACCTAACACTGGCAATATAGAAAAAACAGCTGCAATAATTTATAGTGGACTGAATGAAGCCTATTTATTCATTTCAGTTTACAACCCAACCTGGCAATAGACTAAACAATAATGATCTAAATAATCTCACAGCTGCTAATTTTCCTACTTTAATTGCGGGTGATCTTAACGCTAAAAATCAAGCTTGGAATTCAAGATTCAACAATACAAATGGAAATTTCTTGAACAACTACCTACTAAATCAAGATCTAAAAATTGTCGCACCTTTCACCCCCACTAGAATTCATCATGATGGCTCCGGAGACATCCTTGATGGTTCTATTACTCAAAAATATCAATCAAAAACTCCTTCTCTGGAAGTCACTTATGACCTTAATTCTGACCACCTGCCAGTCACCTTTGACTTCTATGGATTCTATCACCCTTTGAAAACACATCTTACAAAACCAACTGGAATCTAGTCAATAATCTTTCTGCAAAATTATACCTGCAATAATAGTTACCCCCCATAGCTTTGCAATAGAGAATGAAATCCATAAATTTACTACTACCATTCAAACGCGTATATTTCCACTGCTACTTACTCCATAAAAGAAAATAAATCTCAAACCCTTCCCACCCAGATTAAAAATACTATCAAGCTCAGAAACGCAGCCATTAAGACCTGGCATCAGTCTAGAAACCCAAATGATAAACGGCACCTCAATTACCTAAACCGAAAAATCAAGACTGAAATTCATGAATACAGGAATCAACAATGGGACCACCTACTTGAAAATTTGGAGCCGAACCATGAAAATGTTTGGAGAATCGCGCGCTCCCTCAAAAATAATAACAGTTATACCCAGCACGCAATTGAACACTCTGGAACTAAATATTATTCGGACCAAGACATTGCTGACCTCATGGCAGAAGTACAAGAAATATCTATAAACCCCTCCCGTCTAATAACTCGGAAACTGAAACGAAGCTCAAAAGCAGTCAACTACATACGCAATTTTACGCCTCAAAGGCACATACAGTTTACTTCTCCTAAAGAGGTTGAAAAACATTATTAAAAACCTTAAGCCAAGAAAAGCGAAAGGTTACGACCAACTTAACAATAAAAGCACTTAAAGCCGCCCTGCCAAATAGATGCATTATCAATCTCTGCAATATTATCAATAATTTGTATTAGACAGTCATACTTCCCCCAACAAATGGAAGCACTCTATCGTAATTTTTATTCCCCAAACCGGGAAAAAACCCAAAAGATGTCAATAGCTATCGACCTATCAGTCTTTTGCCGGCTATGGGCAAAATTTATGAGAAAATCCTTAACAATAGACTCACAAACTTCCTAGAAAATAATGACATTATTGATTACTTACAATTTGGATTTAGAAAGGTCACTCGACCACTCATCAAGTCTTTAAATCTTGTGGAAACAATAGCTCTTGCGTTTCAGAAAAAAAGTGCAGTTGCCGCATGCTACCTCGATTTTTGAGAAAGCTTTTGATCGAGTGTGGCATGCTGGGCTAATTCTAAAGCTCATAGATCTCGAAATTCCTAAAAAATTTAATTAAAATTATCTTCTCTTTTCTATGTAACGGAACTTTCCAAGTCAGAATAGGTAATACCTTCTCCAAAAAGAAAAGGATGTTTTGTGGCGTCACTCAAGGTAGTGTTTTGAGCCCAAAACTTTTTAATATTTATATTAACGATCTTCCTCAACCACTTAACTCCAAAGTACTCAAATATGCAGATGATGCTGTCGTACTCTCTGAATCTATTCAACCTCAACTGGCCATTAACAACCTCCAAATGTATGTTAACAATATCGCACACTGGTGCACAATTTGGAAAATAAATCTCAACGCTCACAAATGCAATACTGTTCTCTATAGACGTTATAAAAAACTTCAGAATGTCAACACTGAAATTAAAATCAATAGCACTCTTATCCCACATAATGATGCTTACAAATATCTGGGTGTCTATATTGATAAACAGCTGAACTTCAAAACCCCACCTTCAATACATTGCCAATAAAGGGAATTCTGCTTATATGGCTATGTATCCACTTATTGGACGTAACTCCAAACTTAACTTACCTACAAAAAAGATTCTCTATACTCCTCTCATAAGACCGATCCTTACTATGCCGCCCCTGCTTGGGCTATTGGCAATAAAAATGAAAGGAAAAAGATTGGTATTTTACAAAATAAAATTTTACGATCAATCACAAACGCTCCCCTGGTTTATCAGGAATAAAGATATCCAGAAAGACCTCAAAATTCCTGATCTTATGGATCACATCCTCACCATATCTCACAATTTTCTTTGAGAAAGCTAGGAATAGCGAGTACCAAGCAATCAAAAACATCATTGATTATGATCCAACTATTGAACATACGGTAAAAAGACCGCGCACAATACATCACAATCCTAGATGGTGATTGTAAATATGTAAATAGTGTAAATATCTTTTCCATTTATCCAAGATCTCATTTATTCAAGTTTATTTCTATTATTTTAATTTCCATTCAATTGAATCAATCATGTGACCACTCTGGTCAAATAGAACTTTGCGAACTAAGTTCTTCTCTGATTGGCTGACCCACATCACGTGGGTTTCACTTGTTGCTTAGAATTCTAAGTGCTCCTCTCTCATTCAGGGAGTGGATGCCGAGGTTGAAGGGTTGCTTTCCGATCTGACCGCCCATGCCGCCTGTCTGCATGAGAACTGAGACCACTGCCGTAATAATTGCTAATGCCAAATTGCTTATCACATGTACAGCTATATTCGCAGGATTATCTCCTATACATTTTTCGCCTCTGTGCGGGTGCGTATGCACCACTATTCTCTCTAACCAACTGGCCGTATGGCATGATCAAAACCGATTGGATTAAGGCTATTTGTAGCCAAGGCCAATTGTAAAAGATACCGATTAGATTACTGCATTTAGCCCACT